CCTTTTATAAGATATCTGAGATTTATAACAGCATCCATGATTACTGGATTTAATGACATTTTGGAACATTTCTTGCACTGTAATTTGAGGTAACATAAGGGCACTAAGGAGAATATCATTTAGCAGCCACATTCACAGATTCTGTTTCATTTTGATATATGACACCTTGTGCTCTAGAAGGAGGGAATGGATGACAATCCAACTTTCCTCACTGCTGACTGATTTAATTTCATTAGCATTATTGGGATAACATGATCACTGCATCTGAGTAACCCACACTGCTCAGTTTGATTATATTTGAGTTAAAGCTTCAATGAGGCTTCTGCCAAATTTTTATTGCTCATCTTTTTCTGATGGAACACAATGCTTATTGTTGCTGAGATGGTAATTAAGTTTTTCTTTGCTAACAGATAGCATCTGGAAGAATTGCAGTTCTTGTGAGCAGTGACAAATCAGTTCAGCACTTTATGATGCAAATCAGCAGATGAAGACTAGATCAGTGACTATTAAAAGCAATAGTAGGTAGGTGTTTCAAACAGCTGTACAAAAATAGTGAATAATAAAGACTTCTGCATCATTAAATGCTTTTTTTAAAAATGCATGGCAGGTTGCAGAACAGGTAAAAAGAGTTCACTATAAGAATTACAAAACAGCATTTTTCAGTGGGTAAATAATTTGGACACATTTCTCTTAGAGAATTAGCAAGATTAATCTTTGAGATTTAGGTGTGACGACTGATACTTGTACATGCTCAGCTCATTATTGTAGTAAACTTATCTTAAATAATTTTTTGTCATGGTCTCAGATCTCTTCTATTTTCAAGTCTTTAAGACATGCTACTACAGATTTGTTCTATTGTAAGCTATATTATCTTTAATCTCACTTGATAAACTTATTTATCATGGATGAAAGTGCAGTCTATTTCTTGGTGACTCATGAATACTTCATGATTACTGAAAGACCCTTGCTATACCTATTATTTTCAGTACACTTCTTGTTGATTTTTTTTATACATAGTACTGAATTTAGTCAGAAAAATGGCAAGTACCAATTAAAGGACCTTTTATACTGTAGTTCGTAGTTGATATTCATTATTTTTTTATCATTTTACACTATGTACAATGCTCCCTTGGATCAGATGACTAGTGTGTTAAAACGAAAAAAAAGTTGTGTGTGTGTGTAATACGTATTTGTGTTTGGTAAAAATTTCACAGTTTTTTTTAAATTAAATATCAAAACACCTTCCAAACATTTTAAAATGGTTGGCAAAGATTTTCAGACTCACTAAGCACGAAAAACACAAATTTCTTAGCTCTAAGCAGATGATCCAGATATTGGAAGAATAACAAAAGTAAGGTAGCATTTTGGTGTAATATTGGTAACGCACCATACCATGGGTGGGGTTAGAACCCGTGATCAGAGAGTCGCAAAACTCGAGACCGTCGCGTTAGCCACTGGAGTTTTGAGACTCTCTGATCGCGGGTTCTAACCCCACCTGTGGTATGGCTTGTTTGCAATCATGTCATTATGATTTCGTGAGTCAGAGTGGTAACACCTTTAAAAGCTTAATTTTAAATATGCTAGCTATTCCAAGGTTATATTCACCTAGTGCTTGTATGGTGGCTCTAAGTAATCTCACAGTAACATCATCAATGACTAATGATTACTAGTGAACACATCAATTCTATCATAAGTGCTTATTTATGCAGCTACAAATCTCATGCATGGAAATTCATCAACAATGGGATATGATGTTAATTGTCTTTTTTTAACAGTAACCAAAAACATGTCCCAAATCTATGCTCACTAAATGACTGTAGCCAGTTTATCAGTTTCCATGGGAAAGTGGAACAGAATTCTCCCTCTGTAAGCCATGTGTGTCATAAGAGGTGACTAAAATGCCGGGAGCAAGGAGCCAGTAACCCCTTTTCCTGTATACATTACTAAATTTTAAAAAGAGAAACTTTTTTTAGGTCACCCTGCCTCAGTGGATATGGAAGGTTCATTAAAAAAAAAAAAAATATGGAAAACAACCTGGACGTTAAGCTCATGCAAAACTTTATGCCAAAAAATTAATGTTCATGGAACACTACTCTTATATATTATCAATATCATCATCACATGTTTGTCCACATAATACTCCTACTTATCTAAATAGGATTATCAGTATGTATTAAATCAGTGGAGCTAACTATAACAATCCAATGAGAGCCATAGTATATTATGAGATTATTCTCTTGCCTTGGGGAGTACAGAGTGAACCATAAGCAAAAGTAAAAAAAAAAATGCTAATTGTATATCAAATCATAAGAAAAAACCTTGACCAATAAACACAAGAAAGAGCAAAACTCACAAATGTTGTGGAAATACTGTACAGTTCACCATTTCAAGTGTAACAATTTAAGGGCTGCTCGTGGAACCATGGTAGGCTGCATGAATGAACAAATGACTTGATAAGACCCATTTTATCACCAGTGAAAATACACATTAATAACCTCTTATGTTCTGCATAGTATTATACTGTAGAGAGAGAGAGAGGAGGGGGGAGCATTATCATAAATAACTGACAGAAACAATTGATTGCTAAACTTTTTAAACTACCTTAACTTACTGAGTAGCTCTAGTACACAGGGCACAATCTGTATTTTTGTGGTATACAGATGCATCTTTTAAACCAAGGACTCGTTATTAATTAAAAACTGTTCAGTGTAAACCTAATCATACATTTAAACAATGTTGGGCATTATGCTGGATAGAAGATTCAAGATTACATTCTATATATGAATTGTATAGGACCACATACATAAATTTAAATACTGTAGTTTGAGATCAGATGGACAGTTGTCACATTTACTGGGCAAGGTTTATCCCTGGTAGTTCTCTACTCTAGTTTATGGTTCATCCCTGAACTCCACATGGCAATAGAACAATCTCATATTTATACATATAACTCCAGTTGGACTGAGTAGAGTTAGCTCCAGTGAATCAATACATACAGATTGGTCTATGTATCTAAGCATGAGTATTGCATGGACAAATATGTGATGATCATACTGATAATATAAAATAAACAGTATTCTATGAAACACTTCTAGAAAAAGTGTACAACTGTGTCCAAATTGAAATGTTCATTTTTTGACATATACTGTAGCTGTGTATGAGCTTAATATCTAGGACATTTTCCATAAATACTACACGTATTGAAATTTAGCATAATAAACTGGCTGCACTCATTTAGTGAGTAACAGAGTTGGTTCTCTTATTGTTACTGTTAAAAAAGATAACGAGATCAAATCCCATTATTGATAAGTTTCCATGTATGGTTTCTTAGCTACATGAACAAAAAGTATTTACGATAGAATTAATATGTTCCAACTAGGTATATTGACACACCATAGGAAGGTTAGCATAGGCTAACCTTCCTATGGTCTGGAGTTTTAAGACTCTGATTGCGGGTTCTAACTCCGCCCGTGGTATGGTTTGTTTGCAATCGTGTCATTACGATTTCGTGAGTCATGTTCACTATCTTTTAGTCATGGTGATATTACTGATGTTACTTAGTGCAGGTGTACAAGCATTAGATGAATATAACCTTGGAATAGTACAGCTTTAACCCTTTCACTGTTGGAAGCCCCAAAATTAAGTGCTGATTATGGTGGGAATTTAAAAGAAAAAATCCACAAAGTTATTTTAAACCAAACATAAGGTCATAATGCCCATCATGTGTGCATGGGGCAGGATTTTTTTTTATATACAATGCACACTTGCCACAGAGACATTCTCTCATGTCTAATCCATTATTTACCACTCGGCATTTTTGAGAGCTGGGCTTGGAGATCTATGTGCACGACACTGGTGTTAATGACATAGATCTTAAGAGACAGTGAAAAGGTTAAGGGTGTTGTCAGAATAATACTACATTGCTGTTTTCCCTTTGTTTCTTACAGTGCCTGGATCGTCTCTCTAATGCTAAGAACCTTGCAATTTTTCTTTTTTTCGAACTTATTTTGGTCTGATGATGGATCCTTTATCTGAAAAATTTTTCCAGTCATTTTCCCATTTTTTGGAGGGTGTTTTGATGTTCAGCAGAGTGTGTGTGATAAATAAAATTATATATAATATATAATAAATATATATATATATTTATTTACACATGTATATAGTATGTATGTATATATGTATATATGTACAAAACAACCATTGGGGGGAATTGAATAATAGCTCCAGGCCTTTCGTGTTGCAATCAACACATCATCAGGAGCTTGTAATGTTGCAGGAGTGAGGAAGAGAGAAGGGAGGCAGGAGGCAGGCAGGAAGTGCCCCTAGGCCTTCCATACTTCCTGCCTGTCTGCTGCCTCCCTTCTCTCCCTCACTCCAGCAAGAGCATTCTCTGTGATCATATTTGCTTGAACCTCCTCCACTTCTGCAACATTGCAAGCTCCTGATGATGTGCTGATTGCAGCATGAAAAGCCTAGAGCTATCATTCACCTCCCCCCGTGGTTGCTTTGCATCTCGTATCTCTTGTTCACGATATTTACGTAATATACACACACTATATATGTAATTTACTTATTTTATAATTTGTGCTGTTATGTATATTATCAATCACATTTTATTTTTTTTGCTTAATCTGTTTATTCAGATTTTCTCTTTGTATTTGACTTTATTTCTACATGTAAATATCACATCATATAACTTGGTTATCAGCTTATCTAGAAGTTCATTTATTATTGCTGCCTGAAGTTCCTATCAACTGCATTTTATTTTCAACAGATTCTAGTGTTATATTCCAGAGAGGCACTCAGCTTAAATAATACACACATGTTGAGAAGATTCCATTAACATTAGCCAATAATTATTTACATTTTTTGTAATATGTAAATGCTTGACTGTTGTAGATAAAGTATGTAAACATAACAATTTAAATGGCACTGTAGTATGCAGAGAAACTACACTCTGTACAGTATTCACCCTTGTTAGCTTACACATTAAAAAGTACATTAATTGTTAATGCAAATAATATACGTACTGTACAAATGTCAAATTAGTTTAAAACATATATAAAAAAAAATATACAGAATGACCAGTTAAAAAAATTAATTACATTACTTTATACAAAAAGTATTTTTACATAATTATGAAAAGCTGTAAGACAGTACTCAAGAGTGATGACCTCACAAAGTGGACAGGGAATGGTGAACTATGAATGACTGTGATGCAAGTAATAAACTGAGGTGGAGGAATATGAGCAGTATGTAGTCATGTGTACAAAACTAATCTGTTACAGATGTCACAAATATTAAAAGAAAATACTCTTCTTGGGAAACTAAGACAACACTAAAACCCTTCCCCTCAACTGTATTAATTAACCTCAGTGTCTCTCCAAAACAGATCTCTGCATGTTTCCTCTTTAATATTGCACCATTTAGCTCAGGACTTTTGAGGTATTATATTACTTTTATAAATTATATTAACATTCAGTAATTCTAGTCTGCCAGAAACTCACAAAAAATAAATTTATTTGCACCTTGCATTTCTACTTGTATCTGTATTTCCTTACAATATTAACACATGGTGTTCTTACATGGCTGTGGTTGAGGATTATCCATCGCACTATCGCTACACTTATAATCCTCAACACAGAGTTTATAATATTCAACAGATTGGGTGTTGAAATCATACAGAACTCAACAGACACTACATAAGGCTTTCATCAACCATCATTGCAGCACCTATCTAGGAGATACGTGAAAATTTTGTGATAAGCATCACATAACTTTACTTAATTTTTATATTACTCCCACTGTAAAAGCTTGAATGGAGATGATTGCTTCAAAGCATAGCAGGATAATAATCTCAATCATTGGACTCCTGGCCTTCCACCGACAGCTGAGGTGTCATAACTTCTGTGCTACGGACATAAGAAGTTCGTGACCTCTGCCTGCGCACTTTAGGTGGTCTTAGACTCAGGGGGGCAAGTGGGTTGGGAGTGAAGGCATTCGGAGGTCTTGGGCGTGCCCCAGTGAGAAGTAAAGGAGCAGCCCGTATGTGTCCTGGAGCCCCACCACCAGGCAGGCTGCCACCACTCATCCCACCTGTGTTGGGAAGCCCACTTGTCCCCCCAAATATCCGCATATCACCTTAAAGGGGAGATACAGCTTTAACAATAGCTTCCATATACTTTTTCAAAAAAATACAGCCGATGTCTATTTCATATTCTCTATACTGAAAAGTTGTGCAAGGGGTCTTAGCAAGTAATTTAAGATAGACTTTTAAAAGACTAAACAAGAATGAGACTAACTTTGCATGATGGAGTAAGGTCTAGCCAGAAGTTGAGCTGTGGGACCACCAGGAGCACCACCCATATTTTGTGTTATGGTCATAAGCCGCTTGTCATCCTTGCCTATACCTGACTGGTCTGGTAAGGGTCCTGGCATGATGGTGTGCATGGTTGGCCCCATGTAAGGCTTAGCAAACACAGGAGGATGTGGGGTGACAGTCCCTGGAGGGCCTGTAGGTGGGGCTGCACCACCCCCATACTGCAACACAGGTTGCGGTGGAGGAGTCCCTGCTGACCCACCCATCATCTGTTTTGGGAGCAATGCTTATTATTACCAACTTTACACCTTGGCTCCATTATCAGTGATACATTCATATCCGAAATCAGAGGAATGATGGACATATGAAAAACTATAATACAAGTTACTAATTACAGAACTCGTGCCATATTATCCAATACTAAAGCTACTGTCATTTCCAAGTTCACTACCAATTCCATGCACAAGGTGCTACCCACCTGTACAGAAGGCCTAAAGAAGGTGAAGAGCTGGGGAGGGGCGTGGGATGTGGGGGTGGGGGGCTGCTGGGGTGGGACCATTGCCATATATTGCCCTCCTACGCCCCCAGCTGGGGCAACCCCAACCCCCCCACTGCCGCCACTCACATACCCTAGGTTCATACTCATGCCCTACAAAGAACCAGAGAATACCACATCACCAGGAGGTTTAATAAGAAAACTACACTTTCCTTTAGAGATTCTTTGTCTATTGTCTACTATAAGTACTGTAAGCCTCATTACTGATGTATTTTTAAAGATATATTTACATTGTCTTGTTTAATTCTGGATTTAATTATTGATAAACAAGCAAAGTAGTACAGTATCTATGAATTTAATTGGTAGTTTGCTTGGGATAAATTTTCTCAAACAGGCTTTGATTAAAGTAAAAGGTAATAAACACATCAACAAGTATGTTGCAAAACAATTAAAAAAAATCAAGGGATCAGCAGCAGTATTTATGGTTATCAGTCATAGAACTATCTATTTACTGGAAACAGCTAGACAAAATAGTAACAGCAACAAAAATTACATGTACATCGTATTAAAGCCAAGAATATTTGTTTATTCAAATATTTGGGTAAGAAATCCTACGACTAATTGACCTTTGTGTTGTTCTGAATTATAGAAGGCTAATCATTTTCATTAGTGGAAAGATTCCAAATTTCTTTCATTCCATTTTTATTTTCCCTTAACAACTCTCACTGGCCTTTCTTATTCTCTCCTTCCTCTTCTCTACTCTCTCATCTCTCTATCCTCTAGCTTACCTTTCTCTAAAGAATAAAAAGACACAATACCATGACTGAAACAATGCACAAATCACCTGCACGTAGGAGACTGAAACGTATGATGACATTTCGGTCCAACTTGGACCATTAACTAGTCACATGAATTACATATATAAGACAGTTTCATACAAGAATAGTACAGCCCAAGACCTAACTACTCTCCTTGCAGTTTCAGTGACTGCACCAACAGCCCATTTACTGTGAATTTCTTGAAGTAACAGGTGCTCAAAAATTATAACATCCCACATTTTATATATCCTCATTTCTACCACACCCATATATACACTCAAGAATTATAAAATCCCAAATTATTATTACTAATAGTACAGTGGACCCCCAGTTAACGATATTTTTTCACTCCAGAAGTATGTTCAGGTGCCAGTACTGACCGAATTTGTTCCCATAAGGAATATTGTGAAGTAGATTAGTCCATTTCAGAGCCCCAAACATACACGTACAAACGCACTTACATAAATACACTTACATAATTGTTCGCATTCGGAGGTGATCGTTATGCGGGGGTCCACTGTATTATATTATGTATATTCATATTCCCATAGGTGTAAAACATGAGTTTTGAATACAACTGTAGTGAGGAGACTAAGAGGCATTAGAGATGTAATGTTTGAGAGCAATACATGGTGTGAATATCATGCAGAGTATTCCGAGAATAGAAATTAAAAGGTGATGCGAGTCACCAAGAGTGTAATTCAGAGGGTGAAGGAGTTGTTGAGGTGGTTTGGGCATGTAAAGGATGAAAAGAGAGTGTATAAATTTGGGGTGGGGATCATCCCAGGAATGGTTAGGGAGGAAAGATAAAAGATGCTTTGAGCATCCAGCAAGCTTGTATAAATATGTTAGATATGAGTGAATGGAGACAAAAGATTGTCAACTGATATGCTGCTAGTGTGTGAACAAGGCAACTGTTAAGAAGGGGGATTCAGCTACGATGGGGTAAGCCAGACTTGAGTCCCGGAGATGATGGGCAGTGCCTGTATTCTGAAAGAGGGGTGGGTATATTACAATTGAAGGGTAATCTGATTGTGATACTAGCAAACTCCTGGAAAGATAGTGATTCAATAAATGATGATGAATGTGTTTTTCTTTGTGTTTTCTTGAATTAAAAAAAAAAACTCCCATCACAAACATTACTGCATTAAGAAATATGGCTTTCATATTGATTATAAAGGTATCCTTTTTGAAATGGCTACATATACAGTAGTACCTCAGTACTTGAACAGCTCTCAACTCAACAATTCGGTATTCGAACACTTTGTTCGGTAAAAAAATCGCTCGGTAGTCAACCATTTACATAGCACTCTACCAAACAAACACTACCTGCCAGAACATGTAAACTGAGACAAGTCACGTGTGTGAGTATTCCCGCACACAGTCACAATAGAGATGAAAAAAGAACTCATAGCAAAATATGAAAGTGGTGCCCATGTGTCTGATCTTGCTACCGAGTTTCGTAAGGCAAAATCTACAATCTCCATGATACTAAAAAATAAGAGGCCATTAAAAAGGCTGATGTTGCAAAACTCTGGCCACATGAACTTTTAAAATAGCGAATCTGAGGTGTTGTCTTGGATGGTTTTTATGCTTCTATTGGATGTTTCTTGGTGCCATTTGATAGAATGGAAAACATACTATGGAAATAGAGATTGGTTTCAGTACTGAAAGTAGCTTGAAACTGAGCTCAAATTAGCATGTATTCAACTTTTACCGATATTCCTGGGGACGAATAAGGCCCCCTTACACCACCTAAGACCACTAATAAGCCAGCAAAAGGCTGCAGTCAAAATGATGATAAATTTCCACTCCAGACAGCATACTCCACCAATATTCAAAAGTCTAAAACTACTCACCATAACGAACATCCATACTTATTCTTGTGCCTACTACATACACAGAACACTACACTCAAATATAAACCCTCGCCAGCCTTAATAGGACACACGACCATAACACAACAAACAGATCACTTTTTGATGTACCCCATGTCCACATCACACTATGTAAGAACTCTATGCACATAAAGGGCCCCAAAATTTGGAATTCACTACCAGTAAATACTAAAGTAATCCGGTCTGAACATCAATTTAAGACCTCTCAAAACCCATCCACTCGCCCTAAACTAAATATTCAATACTCAATACTTAAATTTGCCAAAAGATCTCCCAATTACCTAAATCTTAACACTTCAAAATTTAAATACCCCAAATTCATACATAACTTAATACTACATTGTAGTATAAATACCTCCACATTATTATCATCATCATCATCATCAAAAAGAAGCACTAAACTACAAATACTTACACAAAACTATACTGCCTTACACCATATTGTAGCATTCTCATACTGTAATCTACTTTCACCAACACTCTATATTATATTCCAATATAACAAATATTTATTATTGATACACACAGCCTACAAAATACTTTCAAATTGTCCCAATGTAATATCCCCAGATTGTAACTTGAGTTAACTTACTGTCTGCTTTAAATAAAAACAGATGTATAAACTATGATCAATTTCTCTAGTATTAAGTAGTCTGTAAGCCATTAATTTAGTCTGCCCATAATGCCATGGCATGATAGTGGTTCTCTTTGCACTGCAACTCATTATTGTAACTACAGAATCTCAATGTAAACTTGCAAAGAAATAAAAATTATATTGTATAATGTTTTATGAGTTTTTAATAGGTCTGATTCAGTTACTGGAACACCGTAAGCCATAACCAATCATACCTAGTTATGTTTTCTTATCCGAGAATTAGAGTAAACCTCCTATTGTGCAATTAAGAATTCAAAATGGAATACAAGTGTAATGCAGATGAGACCTAGGGACATGATTAATGAACAGGGGAAGTGTTTTAGCACCAGGAATGTCTACATTGTGTATTTTGGACAATTTTTTTTTATTTGTATTTTTTCAGTTTTATGTAAAATTGGTCAAATTATTGACTTCTGTCTTCCAGCCCTTTTCTACCCTCACCTCTGATTCCCTCTCCACCTAGCTGTGTATAGCCCCAGCACTGTTTTCTGCCCTGCAGAGCTGTATGACCCTTGTCGGTTTAGTGCTTTCTTTGATCGTAATAAATAATACTGACTTCTGTGCACTATACAAGGCAGCTGTCAAATAAGACTCAGTCGGGAATTTCACCAAAGCATAAATTGCACCAAAACCACTAACTTTGCGGCTGTGTAATTCCACAAGTTTTCCACCAAATTTCAAACTTTATAATCATGGGGGAGCACTAAACCCATAGGATTATACAGCACATGGGGGAGGGGGGGGAAAGAAGGCATTCAGGTTCAATTCAGGGAACTGGAGCACAGTATTTTCTTCAGAAAAAGATTCTCTTCCATTTCAGAAGAATTTTTTTTTTATTTTTAAAGTGGAAACGAAGAGCAACATTAATTTCGGGGTCTAGACAGTGAAAAGGTTAAGAAGGGTACAGTTGCAGTGGCGTCATAAGGGGAGGGGGGTGCCGCCCCGGGTGAAACCATTCAGGGGGCGACACCATAAAGCCTCTAAAGAAGATGACACTAATGCACAAAATAGTGCTGCACCGACACGAGAAAAATCCTTCGTTTCTATATAGCCTATTATATGATTACAGAGTACAGATACAGTGGAACCCCGGCTTACGAATTTAATCCGTTCCGTGACCTTGTTTGTATCCCGATTTGTTTGTATGCTAAGTCAATTTTCCTCATTTAAATTAACTGAAATGGCATTAATCCGTTCCAGTGGAATTCCTGCTCTCAGGAGGCATGACAAAACACTTCAATATGATGCTAATATCAACTCTATGGCTTATTTATATATCACAATTCATCTAATTTCACCATTACTCGAGGAATTTACAATAGGTGCATAAGAACATTTCTTCAATGTCAGCTTCCTGCAACTCCATTAGCACACAGTCAAGATGAGTAAATGGAATTGTCAACGCTTATTGCTTAGGTATGTTTATTCTGTTAGTGGGCTGGACCTGTGAAGGATCTGTCTAGTATGGGCCAACAGGCCTACTGCAGTGTTCAACTCCTTGCTTATGTTATGATGTACCCACAACACCAATCATACCCAGCCCCTCCCACTCATATATTTGTCCAATCTCTTTTTAAAGCTACCCAAGGTTCTATCGAAGCTAAAACCTTGGGTAGTTTCAAATTTAGGTTCGATAAATACACGAGTGAAAGGGGTTGGATTTGAGTGGGACTTGCACATGAGTAAATAGAATTAAAGCTTATTGCTTGGGTAGCATTTATTCTGACTCACAAAATTGTAATGACATGACTGCAAACAAACCATACCACAGACGGGGATAGA